AATTAAGTTAAAAAGAAAGCCTCTATGACTATCAACAGTTACAGTCAGGCAAGGTATGATAACAAAGACTGAATGGTTTAAACCGAAATACTAGTTGAGTCCTTAGCTAACAGTAATGATAAGTATATATAGAATAACCATAAGCCGAAAGATAAGATAACCCTTAATCGCAATATATGCAACAACAAGACCGAGCTGGTGTTCAGTTGCACCCAACCGTTTGTAAGCTATTGAAAACTCTACTTTTATCTGAGTTACAATAAGCTAATGCTACTATTCCAATTCGTCTCTTTATACTGTAATCTCCATTATATAATGCTCTACAGCTTTTTGAGTAAGAATAAAAGAAAGTATTTCTTTTGAAATACAATTTTTTAGCTCTTTCTATATATCAAGCTATCTTAAGAGTTAACTTTACTAAAAGCTAGCAAAATTATAACTTATCTTTGTTATATTACCATACTCAATAATAATTGATTAATATTGAAGAAACATCTTATACATATTTCTATTAAATAAGTACTTACATTTATATTTGCTAATTAAACAAAGCAGATAATGAGATTGATTAGATAATTATTCAGGAAGTTAATAGCAAATACTATTTCCTTTACTGAAAATACAATTACATATATAATCAGTACAAACCCAGCTATCCTTTCGAATACATTGTTCTTATTATAATACTGTCTTTTTTGATAACCTTTTGCTTAAAGATTCCTATTTATCGATATTAACAAAGCCAATATTTCTATAATAAGATATATCGAATTTGCGATTAGATTGATTTTGATATAAGGCCTTTAGAATATCTTTTTCAATTATCTTACTATTATTTTTGAAATCATAAAAATAATATATCATTACAATTAATTTGTTAGCAAACTTCTTTTTATAATTATTAATACAATTTATTTATTTATTTATTTATTTATAGTGATTAATATCTAATATCTGATCTCTCAAGGGGTATTCTAGATATACTAAGGAGCGGGCCTATAGGCTGCTAGCGTTTTAGCTGCTTATAATAGTGTAATGTTAGTTAAACAGGGGTTTGTTGCTTTTGGTATTTCTTTGTTTAGTATCGCTTATGGCGATCCTATGGTTGTTCTATTTAAAGATTTGTAGTTCTGTTTCAGAGGGTCTTGTTTTGTATGCTATTCGGGTGTTGGTGGATGATTAGGTCGATCGTTATCGATCGGGAGAGTACTTGGAGCGTTTATGGCTGTTCGGTATAGGTTTTAGGTTGATCGGGGTGGAGAGCTTATCCTTGAGATATTGGAGTAGGTTGGAATTTGTATAATTTTGTATAGTTTGAGTATATCCTAGTATAAAATCTGGATCTAGTGAGAAGGTCAGTAAAGCTATATTGTATTTGTAGGATACGGTTGATATATATTATTGTGTTTTATTCGGATCGAAGTTGATTTGATATAAGTAGTTAGTTGTTGTGTGTTTAATTATTGATTGAATATTGAAAGAAATATAGTGGGCTTTTTTCAATTCTATATATACAGATATTTGTATTATTTTTGTGATTGAATTTGATGTGATAGGCTGCAAAGTCATTGTATTCGGTCTGTATTGCTATAAGTCTATATAATACTCTGTGAGGAAGCTTGAGATTTTCTGGCTTTGAGGTATTATATATTGGTTTCTATGTATTATATGTTTTGGAGATCAGATCTCTTTTTTCTTTTTATTATTTGCTTTCGGAGCGTCGACATTTGGTATGTAGGATAAAGCGGGAGCTGTTGATTGTGGAAAGATAGGATAGGTTAGGGTCAAGTAGCCCAGTTATATTCTGATTAGTGAGGTGATCGGCTACCTTGTTGCCCTTAATCTTAATATGCTTAGGGGACTATTTGATTACAATATTGTAATGTTGTATTGCTTAATGATATTTGTGGTATGCCTATTGAAAGGAGACAGTAGTGCTTTCTCGTATTCCTTAGATTATTAAGGTGTTATCAATATATAACTATATTCGTCCCTGGTAGGGGCGATCAATGATGCTCAGGAGGCGTTCTAGTCCCCGCCACGCGCCGATCGTCTTATTATTAATATAATCAATCAAGAGATTATATTCTTCCTTCGAATTCTGTCTTGAAAAATAATGGAATAGATATATTCAATAAGTATATCAAAGATCAACCCCACTCTTAAATATATTGCCTTTAGTATCTATAATCACACTTATTAGATAAATCAACCGCAAGTTGGAGATATTAAAAGAAAGCCTTATTTATATATATCTTTATTATTCAATTTATTTTTTTTATTATTCTCTTTTTACTAATAAAATTACTATCATTCTTATTACAGCTCGACTTTTCCTTTTCCTTAACAGAATGCTTGCTTTATATAATAGAAAAGGCAGATACTCTCTTTATTATAAACTATAAAAAAGTATATTAATAAAGCAAATATAAAAGAAAAATAAACAATTTATTATTATATATATATTCTCTTATTGCTTTAATTATATTAGCAATAACTTACTTTTACTATTATGTTTTCTTGATGGTATGGAAGGCATATTGATTATTAATTAAAGGATATGAAAAAGATAAGTAATTGAAAAAGATTTAGAAAAAAAAGGAAAATTCGAGTGATCTATATACTTTGAAGGCTTTACATTATTGTTAGACTATAAAACAGTTTCCTTTGTTTTCTATACACCTTTTCATTACGAAAAAAGTAAAAATTTGTATACACATTTGTTTATTATACCATATTATAATATAAATAATAACGCTTTATTGGGATTATCGATATATTTACAGATTAGATAATTATAAAGCTTAAAAGCAAGCTTTTTTGAAAGGGAGAATAGTATTACAGATCGCACCCAATCGCAGCTGCGATCGCTTATATGCGCGTTTGTGTATATGCACAATTATATATATATAGCTAATATATAAACGCGTTCTACAAACGCTTTGCTCCCGATTCTGTAATTATAGATTCTAAGGATAAATTGTACCCTGCTCTCGTAGTTCTTCTAAGGCAAAGTGTTACACTCTTGGTTTATTTATCAGTTTTAAAATAATAAATGATTAAAAGCTTGATAACTATATTCAAGCATTTACAGATATGTTCCAAAATTCAGAGACGAATTGAACTTTACAATCAAATATAATGGTTAGGGGTAAGCTGTAGAGCTTCCAGATATTCTTCTGGAATAAGCGGGTGATCTCTTTAGAGTTGTAGATATTATAATAAAACAAGAAATATTTCATTTTTGTTAATCAATCAATTATTATTATAGTAATATTGAAACTAATACTTTCGGGCAAATATATAATAAAATTTATTGAGATATCTTATCAAACTCTTTACAGAATTGGAAGTGAGTAAAGAATTCTTTCCTAGCCTTTATAATTCGGGGCAATATAATAGCAACTATAACAATTACAGACTCATTACATAATATAATTGTAATATTTAAACTAATAATAATTTCGGAATAATAATTTGAAGGTTCAGATACAATACAAATAACCGACAGCAGGTGATTCGTAGTATAAACAAAGCAGATAGGTTTTTAGGAGGTTGTAATTAGGAATATATAATTTCCCTTAATAATATAATAGATTGTTATTTTCGATATATTCAATAAAAGTGATTTTTGAGTGTTTCGGGGATCCTTTTCATAGGGATTTAAGGATAGATTCGAGTATAGAATCGATTTGATAGTCTTTGTGGAATAGGGTAAGCAAAGTTATATTGATTTCAATAATAGGTTCAGATTAAGAATTAAGATATAATTTAAAGAGCTATAATACAGAATCTTCCAAATTGAAGATATACAGAATTTTGCTAAGCAAGCTAGCCTGATTGGGCTCTAACTCACTTATGCTCCGGTGCGAGCGCTTAATTCGGTCCCCTCCGAGGGAACCAATATGTCACGTGATATCACACCGTGACACAGAGGTGGTCCCGTGACAATTTAAATAATTTCAAAAATAGAATTTTAAAAATGAAAGATTTATTTAAAGAATTTCTTTCGATTAATCTAAAATTTATATATTTTAATATTCAATATAACTTATTTAAAAAATATTATAATATTCAAAACTTTAATATTCAATATAAAATTTAAATTCATTTTAAAATTCATTTTCAATTTTTTTTAAAATAATAAAAATAACTAGAAAATCTAATAATCTATATTAAAATCAATTCTTATTACTTTTTAAATTTTTTTGATTTCTTTATAAGAAATTAATATCAAAAAATGTTAAAAGGAATAGAAGTTACCAGCGCTAAGCACATGACGAGATTAGTAATATGGTTACTTAAGCCTACTAGATTAGACCAGGCAAGGCAGGCATATTGATCCCCTACAATGTGAGGATTAAGATCAATACACATTGTAATATAGTCAATATAGAGGCCTCTTCCACCCAATCTTCTAATAAAAAATCTATTAAAATATCTTCCAATTCTATAAATAGACTTTAATATACTCTTTATTGAAAATTTATATATTAATTTTATATATTTATTTATTTGATTATTCAATCAGTTTTTATTTTAATAATTTGAAATTCTAGAGAATCAAAATAAATAATGTTATTCAATTCTAAAACTAAATTTTATCTTATTTTAATGATTTTGAATTTTAAATTGATTTTTATTTTGATTAAAAAAAACGTGCATATAGTAGGGGCGTGCACGTAGCAGGGATATCGGTTATAGGCAGAAAACGTTTGGTCGGCGCCGAAAGAAAGCACTAACTCTATTATTTCTCGTCGCGTCCTCATTGTTTGATCAGACACATACTCTTAACCATCAGATTTTCTGTTATTGATGAAAGACCTTCTTTTTTTGACCACAAAATGTGAACGCAAGAAGTCGAGCCACCTCCAAAAAGAGCACTCGGCGTTTAACCTCACTATCGCACATTGCAGAGCAACCGGCCGAATTCTCCGTTGTAGAACACTTGGCCCGTAACATTATTCAGCGTGGGTATAAATTGACTGCCAAATGTTTTCCTTTCAGAAAATACACAAAAGACTTGAGATTGTACAAATTCAGATGAATGTCAGCTTTTCGGCCTATTTTGCTGCATAAGCAGCTCGGAATTCCGAGCTAAGTGGGAAATGGGACCACTGCATGCATTTCATCCATACTCTCCTGTTTCACATCATTCGGCCTTTCACAGGTAGTAACTCAATCTTCGCCGTGAAGAGATGGAGCTAGACACTATGGAAGGAAAGCCAGGCTGCCTGTCTTGTGGAGCCAAGTTCAACCACCGTAAGTCACGAGAATTTCCCATTCCGTTTGCGTTGACGTTGAAATCTCACAACGTCGCAGAATCATCGCTTAGTCGCCATTTGAAAAATCAATGTAACAAAAATCAATCACGACGGCGTAAGGCTTGTCTTCAATGTGTCATAGACAAAACAAGGTGTAGTTTAAAACGGCCTACTTGCTCACGATGTCATGTGCGCGATGTTGCCTGCGAATACGCTATTCCTGAAAACCCGAACACTCCTACGAATTTGAGACACGACCTTTCAGAAATTGAGAAGGATCCGACATGCACCACGCCTTCAGACATTTCACCAACATTTCGTCCACAGTTTCTACAGTCAACATTCGACCCTAATCTATTCGACACCTTTTTCTCGGATGTAGGAACCTGGTCATCAATGCCACAATTAGATCTTGATTTATATCCGCAACATATAGATCACTAAGGGATGTCATCCTTTGGTCGTGAGGGTGAAGGTAATTCTGAGCTTGTTCGACTCAACGACGCCCCGTCCATTGAGCTGCAACCTTGTCCAGAATCAAACTCAGTTGCTTTAGCAAATCACAGCATGGAACTAATATTCCGTGTCTTTCGTACTTGGCCTCAGATGCTGGCTGAGGGATTTCAACTGCCTCCAATATTCCACTCCACACATTTTGCCCAGCATGATGTTCTGCCCCGGCCACTGGCCACTTGCACAACATTAGTCAAAATGTGGCATGGACAAAGCGTAGGAGCTGAAGAGATTGTGAGGAAGACAATAATTTCAGAGTTAAATCTTATTGTCGATTAAGTAAGTCTCGATGCACATCTTTCTACGGGGCCGTCTAATTGGTCGCCTAAAATAGCCCGAAGAACTTGACGAAACGATGCTCATAGCAGTTCTACAAGCTGTAGTGATTTATTCCATTATCCTCCTCTCCCCATCAAAAGCCCCACAAAATTCCCCTGATGATAATGAAATCGTCTTTCAAAAAGTCGAGTCACTTGTGTGGCACGTTGTGCGTGATGGTCTTTTTCTCAAAGAAGAGAGAGCACAGACACGACCATGTTGGCAAGCTTGGATACATGTCGCATCCAAACGTAGAGCAGTGCTCACTTTATATCTCCTTCCCTGGGCATATTCTGTGTTGCACAAAGTTCAATGTTTCGACTGTAAAGACCTTAGGTTTATGCCTGCACCGGCCCCAAAGGTACTTTGGCAAGCAAGCACTGAACAAGAGTGGAACACAAAATACATACATTGGCTTTCGAGATGGAGTGGCCGAATCTACCTTCAAGCCGAGATTGGAGATATTCTACCCGGTACTACTTTGAACAATAGAGCAGAGAAATGGTTTGGGGAGGTTGACGAGTTTTGGTTTATTATGGCTTCAATTGGTAAGTTCTCACTTTAATATTTCGGAATTTACTATACTAACAGTTTTGCAGTTAACGCTACGGAATTTGACCCACCATCACTTAAAATATTAATTCAGTAATCGTATAAATACTTGGGATAATAAATCATCATTTCATTATTTTATAAAGGTAAATCTAACACGCACATAAAATTTATAGACATTTGATTTCAGGACCTCGTTGCTGAATCTAATTTCCCAATATGTCCACCATTCAATAGTTAGAACCAACTACTGACTCCTCGATCTTCGTTATATGCCAGCCAAGTTCAATATAAAGTGGAATTTACTTAGGCGAATAACCACTCCGCTCGTAGACTCGAATTTCTTTCACGCCTTGAGGGTGTCTACCCACCCCTCCAAATCCATGTTGAATATAGAGACATCACCCCTCGGAACACCCATCATGATAGTCAATCGATAATCAATCAACCACTTCACAGTTCCCCCTTCGGTCACCTTCACAAGTTTATGGAGATATCTGGCTTCGGCAAAGAACGACTTGTCGTCGGCGAAGTGGCTTGCTGAGACATATGTGGTAGCTTCAGCAGTGTCATTTCCAGTGAGTCGAATGACTTGTGTGCTCAAGCTATGGAAAGTGCTGACATGTCCAATAGTCTTCTGTAACTGCTAGATGACAGTGTCGATGCCATTTATGAGACCAAGAGAACCTGTATAGTCCGCTGCACAGTCTTTTGTGAATGAATTGCGAAGCCCCTCAAAGGTGTTCATATCAAAAGAAATTGCAACGTTTGCAATTGCATTTCTGATAAGTTCGTGATCTGATGTAATAGACTCCATTGCTATGGTTCTGTTACTTGATGGAAGGATGTCTGTGTAGAATGTGTTGGCTTTTATGATATGTTGTGAACTGGAGCTTGAGGTGATGTAGAGGAGAGTATTGGTATTTGTCTGATTACAATTCAAACACGAGTCAATGCCAGGAAATCTTGCCTTATATATATCTGCTCATGAGCGTTCAGTTCCTTGATTATAATATACAGTCATCAATTCTGACGTATTGATTATCAATGCTTGCAAGCAATTGAACTGGACAATACCATCTCCAGAATGATAGATTAGCAATCTGAGATTCGGAGCTCTCTGTTTCACAAAGATTCCCGAATTCAACAATATCCTGACAAATTACAAATCCTGACCCCCAGATCGGCGGAGTAGTTAAGAGAAGGAATCAAGGAAATTATGGGAATTTGTATTTGAACCAGCATGCATATCTGGAGGTAAATATTTCGTTATTCATCCATGGCAAAAGGTTTATGAAATATATTTCATTATTTTTATTCTCCAATGATGATTTATAGGTACTGCTCACATTTCTCAAATTACATCATTGAAAACCATTCCATCCATTAAAAAATTAAGCCAAATATTTTAATCATATGCAGAAACATGCGTTTGGACGTTAGACATCTACGATCTTGGAGCCTGGTATAGTGAGAACAAACTCCTTCCCGAACACTTCAACAGGTGTCTGAAAGCCTGGTATAGCCTGATGATTCATCACTCGCTTGGCAGCTTGCACTGATGCCATTGAAGTGAAAGTATAGCCATTCATTGTGTGGAGAGCGGCTCTCTGGGTAACTCCGTGTTCATATGTGACACTGACTGCTGCATGATATGGTGTAGTCTTCCTCTCCGCGGCCGTTGGACCTTCCGGCAGCAAAGCAAGATCTCCGGTCGGAAAGTTCGCATCAGAGATATTTACATATGTTGCGATGTTGAGCACATTTGTAGATTTCTGTATGGTGAGGAGATCGGGCAATGTCACTGGAAAGGACGTAACATATCCATTGCCATCATCAAAATCGAATTCGGCCGTGTTGTTTACATCCTGTCCAACCAGTGACCCGTCAACAAGCTGAAGACACTGGCTAGTTATACTCTCTGCCGCACTTTTCGCTGACCCGCGTGATATTGACCCAGCGACGCGCAGGGCAATTTCAATTTTGATCGGGGTTTTGACTTTCTCCTTCTCGACAACATGACTAGCAAGACAGCCCAACATCGCCACGCTCCCTCCACACCCGGGCATAAGCATAACGTTGGCATCTCTTGCCTCTTTGTCAAGCTCCTGCGCATATTGATAACTGTCTAATTCTGCTGCGATGTCAAGGTAATGCACTTTATTCCGGATGCATGCTTCGATAAGCGGCTTGGAAGTGTGCACGAAAGGACCGGCACAATTGAGAAGAACAGAAGCTTCTTTCAACACCAAAGCGGTTAAATCAACTTGGTTGATATCAAAAACCGAATAAGAGACGTCGAGTAGGGATGCTAGGCTCTTGAGCTTATGCTCTGTCCTGCCAGCAATTGAGAAGTCGAGGTTGAGACTTTTTGCATACTCGCTAGCCAATTGGCCAGAGTACCCTGTTGCGCCATATATGATGAATGATGTCATGCTTTTTATTTTCTTCTTCTTCTTGGAGAGCTGTGTTGAAACTTTGATAGATATGGTCTCATGGTGATATATCTAAATCATTTTATACAACTTACACATCCACTTTTTAAACACCACTAAGTTGACCACTAAGTTGAAACATCACACTTGCCAAGCTTCGGGCTTTACGTTCGCACTAAACGTAAAGTTGCGAGGTAGAAAGCGCGACGTGCAGGAATGACGTTTGGTGTGACCAATATACTCGGAGCTCCGGGCTGCTTAATCAAAGGGTTCGCCAAGGAACCCCTCACATCCATAATGCAATGCAGATATATAAGTCACCACTATCTACCCTAATTTACTAAGATTAATCATTCACGAACTTATTAGTCGCAAAGATGACAATCAACCACATCTTCTTCAACGCTTCCGCAGCCAAATTCCAAGCGCTACGATCATTCTATGAGGTAGTGTTAAAACCCATAGGCTACACTGAGATGATCTGCGCAAACAACGATGCTCTGATCGGCTACGGTAGTGATTATCCTTATTTTTGGCTGAAGAAGTTGTCCGAAGGTCAATCGCCGATGCCAACGCATGTTGCGTTTGATGCCCCGAGTAAGAATACCAAGTATGGAAATAATTGCAGCTAGCTGATGAATCACAAATAGATCAAGAGGCAGTAGATCAATTCTACGAAATTGCATTGTAAGTTGGATATACAGATAACTCATCAATATTCCTTGAATATCTTCTCTTTTTGTGGATAGCTGACCATGTTTTAGACAAAATGGCGCAAGTGATAACGGACCGCCGGGCATTCGAAAGGAGATGAGTCGGCAGCCGTACTATGCGGCTTTCGTCTCGGATATAGATGGGAACAATGTGGAAGCAGTATGTGTTTTGAAGTAGTGGTGCTTGGGAGTTATATACTCGATGGCTTTCATCCATTATCTCGTTGGAAATTCAATGCTAAAGGACCTTATTCTTCTTTTCATCATGAGCTTTATGTATACGAGGAAATGAAGGTCCCTTTTGGCAGATGTTAAGTTCGTAGCCGTGCTTTTGGACTACATCAAATTACAAATGACTTGACCGTCGATCTCTTTAATGCTGTCAATGAAGTTCTATCTCTTCAATTGGTACCATTCCGCTTCCCACCAAGTCTGCTGTCTCTCCATTCATTAACCCATAAACAAAGCACTCCCCTATCAGTTTCCAACCTGTTCCATCCCTTCTCAAAACTAGAGGAACACTACATCCAGGTAGAACCACAATTGAATCACCTATCATAGCAGCTGCGACCGTAAGGCCAACCCTACCATTTTGAGTTCCAACTAATCTCCGCCACGCAAGGACATTGGCAGCCCACGTCGAAGAATCCCGCAAGTCATCATTACTTGTGCTTCTTTCCTCATCCCTAAATAACTTTCGTTCCTTGATGGTTTTTGCATCGGCTAGAAGATCTTTGAGACGTGTTCCACAAATGGCCAGTTCCTTATTGCGTTGCGCGAAGCCATGCAGACTGAAATCGAGACCTGAACCGCCGCCTTCTGTTGTACCAAATACCGTCCATAGTTTCGGCAAACGAAGGACCGCCCATGAAGGAGGAGGTTTCTCGCCGTTAGGCGTGGTATCCGCCACAATAGTTCTCCAGAATGCTTCTTTAAGGCCATTAATGGTGCCATATGCATTTTGGATGGAGATTGCACTGATGTGGTTCTTCGGGAATGCTTCATCGTTCTCGTGGGCGTTAAATGCTGAAAGGGTAGCTATGGAGTCGATGAAAACGGCATGAAGTAAAATAATGTTACCACGAAGAAATACTGGAGGTGAAGGGTGTGTGAAGCCACGATCTGCTTTGTAAATGCCAGGGAGAAATATGACCGGTGCGGCTGTGCATGACCAACAAACTACCCAAGAGGGTAACTTATGTATGCAAGGTGTTGCAACCTCCACGAAACGACCTCCTATCATTTTACGCATCCAACGAGGATCACTTGCAAGTATTGATGATAGCATAATTTTATCAACAGGAGAATGAACCAATCTGAGAATGTCCAAACCGTGTTCGTTATTCGAGATTATTTCCCGTGTGAAATTGGTAAATATCTCGGGGAGCTCGATTCGGTAATTGGGCGACACGTTCGCCAATCCTTTCACGCAAGGTATAGCAAGAATCCCATAGACCTTGTCCCGTGCATCGGTAGCTTGCGCTTGTCTTGCCAATTCAAGAGCCGGCAGAGCGGTACTAACACCCCCCTGATTCAACTCACGCATGTTTTGAATACGGATAAGATGTTTCCACTGTTGTCCAGGAGTTCCCTCGCGATCTTCTATCCGTCGATCTATTGTAGCTACGGTCGTATGCCGATCAGCATCATTTGTATGTGTCGTGATATACCGTAAAACAGTATCTTCTTGCCTTTCTATCATCTGACAAGCTTTCCATATATCGCGTAGACACATAGAATGATTTCCCCAGATAACAGGCGCATCCATCCGAGCCATGGCCAACTCTTGCAAAATCCAAAGACGATGCCAATATTGGCATGCAAAAAATGAACGGAGGGATTCATACGCAAAGTCATGCCATGGCAAAGTGTAAGGGGCTGACTCCACCGCGTTGGCGGTATTATGATGCAAGTTTCCATATTTGACTGCGAATTCTCTCAGCTTTCCATCCGACCCTATCTCATGGGCGAGCCATTGTAATGCAGTATATGCCATGGTCGTATTTGAAGTCCTTGAACCAAGAGAGACTACCACTTGCCATGCCATAGCATAAATATCTCGCATGAGCTTTACTTGATGCTCGCGTTCATCTAGATCATCTTGATTGATACACAACGCATCAATCCACAAGTTAACACGCCTTCTAACCCAATTCGACTTTCGCAATTCGATCATCGCAGTATGAAGATTCTGGGTAACTTGAATCTCAATCCCATTGACTAATATTGTCTTTTTGTCCGCGGGAGATCCCCAGACATATGATAGTGCGACATATCTATCTGTGAGATGGGATGAACTTTCACTAGGCGCAATAGCTTCGTCGGATCTGCTTTGAGTCGCTTATAAGGACTTGATATATGCTTTCAAAGGGCGGTCAAAAAGTCCCCTTCTAGGTTTAAACAACGTCGTATAATCGTATGGCTTTTGATGAAGACCTCTCCACTCCCGCTCGGATGCCTTTTCACTGTCGACAAATTCATGATATACACCTAATTCTTCGAGTTTAACCGGACGCATTTGGCATGATATCATATCAAACTCGTCAGGATCTGACCGGGAACTTGGCTCGAGACATAAAACCCGAATTTCATCGTCACCCAGAGGTCGGTAAAGCAAAGGACTCCAGGTTGGAGAGTCTGTCATGGCGATTTGAGGATCGGCCAGGTCACCTATGAAAGGATGATACTTTGATAAGATGGATCAAAGAAGCACAGCAAGTACAACGCGTTTTGCGATGATTCTTTCTCGTCACATTTTAATGATTGCTTCCACCCCCACCTATGAAGATGAGGATGCGGCAATTAATGTCAGCATTGCTTATTGGGCCAACTTCAGGCATAGAACAGATTATTCCATCATATGAGCTTTTGCGTTTTCAAAATATATTGAATCATTGTCGTGGGACAGAATCTTTCTGCAAACACTCACGTGCTAGTCATTCATCTATAATTAGGGCACATAATTCACCCCTGTGCTACTTCAAACTTGATTGGGACTAGCGCGCTAGCAATCATCATCCTATCTTTGATCTCGTCTCATCCCTCGTTTTCATTATTTTCAATGTTTACAAACAACATTGATTACAGGCTAATCAAGAATCGTTGCAACAAATTTGATTTATCGTTATGGATGATGCTTACAGGTGAGTAATTAACTGGCTGTACTAAGTCTTCTTTGATATTTTGTAATTGCATGTGTATTTGTTGGATGAAGCTCTAATCCTGAGATTTCATTGGCTTTCAGATGGTTACACCTTGATCCTTGTGTAGTTACATCGCTCTTGCCCCCATGGCTTACATTTGCTTCAATTTCTTATTTTTGTCTCGCGTTGTCCGTGTTGGATATAGCTTCAGATCCTGTGCCTCACAGATTCATATTGCGGTGAAGCTTCCAACATTCACAGTCTACAATTATCACATCACTTGGAAACGAAGTTGGAGACATAGATATGGAATCGAAAAAAGTAACTTCGATTCTAGAATGTATAGTCATGAAACCCAAAGTTAAACACGCTATGCACCACCATTATGCTCCTATAATGCGCCAATTGTATTTCGAAAATGCAGTCCATCAAATTCAATAATCCACGTAGTCAATTTGTCCCCAAATCCACAGCATATTATTCTATCCCACCACGAGAACCAATCATTCTTTTTGGTCTGCAATCTCCTTCATAATCCTTCACATTTAAATCAAAAGACGGGCGAAAGCAAGTGCGATAACGGCGATAGCACCCTTGGAGAATTGCTTGACGGTTGGACCAGCGTTGGCGGTGGTGGAAGCAGTAGCAGCGGAAGAGGAAGCCGAAGCTGAAGTCTTGCTGGTTGTCGAAGGCTTTTCGGTGCCAGAGGCAGAGGTCGAGGTTGAGTTGGCGGCGGCTGTTGCGGTAGCTTGGCCAGAAGTTGCGGTGGTGGTAGCAGCACCGGAGCTTGTAGTAACGGTGATGGGGACAAGAGTGGCAATTTGAGCTGATGTTCCAGTAGAGCTTGGGGTGATGGTACCGCTGCCAGGAACCTCATGTCCTGAAGCGTCATCCAAGGTGCAGCCGTAATCAACATCTGGTGTAATACCATCACTTGAACCGAAGCATTTTTCGAAAGCTTGTTGATCAGCACTGCTAGTAACATTGCAGTAACTATAGCAACCCTCCAAGATAACGTTGACTGGGGCACTACCGCAACATTTTGTCATGGCGCTCACGGCGGCAGAGTTGGAGGTGATATTACCTGCAGTGCAAGCATTGACATAATCGTCGCTGCCAGCGAGAGCGAGGACGGGGAAGAGTGTAATGGAAGGATCAATGCAATTCATCTTGGCGGTTGATAATTGAAGAGTTGAAGTTATTCGAAGGTTTTATGGATGTGGTGTATGGAGTCGTGTGTTTGTAAGGTTGATGGTTTGAGTTTGTAAAAAATTGAAAGCTTGTTGACCTTAAATGGAGAAGGATTTGAAAAGCAATGAGATAACCGAAGCAGGCGCAGTAGCTTAGTCGCTAGTGCCGTTTTTTGAATAATCTTAATTGGAAGAAAAAAAGCAGATGATATTTCCCGTTTGCTTAAAGGAAATTGGCAAAAAAGTGAATGTTGACGAGAGAGAAAATCTTTGTGAGGCGGAAATTGAAAGGATTCTTAAGACTCTTTATTCACTTCATGACCAGCGTTACATTGTAACATCCTGAAGGCTTATTATTTGAGACGATTCTATAAATACCGGATAGTCAGACGCAATTACCGGGGCAGAGCAATTTGTGTAATACAACAGTTGGAATAAGCAATGAAGGCTGTGCCGGGTAGGTACCTGCAGCAATCACAAGCCACAGAACAACATATTATTTGTTTCCAGTGAATTGGCAGCCAATGACATTTCTTGAAAGAGGCCTGTGTTAATGAGAAACTTTTCAACAAATACAGCTGTAGCTACATTGCATTGATGTGGTTGTATCTCACAGGCGCAGTAATTTCAAGCCAGCTCAAAAATAGTTTCCTGGTCTCACAAACCAACAGCCCCCAACACGAGCAACTTCCATTTTCTGTCTTCTGCTTCTTTTCCTGAATCGTCTTTAGGACGAGTAGGATTAGTTTGTCTCCTCTCTTGAGTCATAATAGATGATTTCTCTACATTTTCACTTAAAACACTTAAAAGATTCAAAAGATTCAAAAGATTCAAAAGATTCAAAAGATTCAAAAGATTAGGTTATCTGTAGACCTCTTGATTGATTACTCAGCTAGTGTGGTAAGCACATTATCATATAATCACTCCTATAACGTGTTTTATCAGCATGTGGCCCATATCAGCATGTGGCCCACTTTCACCTCAATTCACACCTTCAAACCTATATTATTCAACCATTATTGAATCAATTGATTAAAACTATTAAGAATCTAATAATCTAGGATCTATTACATTGTTTTGACAAGTTCTTGAATTGTGACCTGGTTTCCACACTTACTACAGCACCTATTAGAAAATGCTTCCCCATTAGGATTTCCCTTATTTTGACGCTCGTCGCGTTGAATCTGAATATCAACCTCTTGCTGAGATAATATATCAAGAGCCTCTTGTCCAGTAAGTACTCCTCCTTGGCGTAATTGGGTTTTTTTCGCGCGTCGACGCTTGCTTAATGCCTCATTTGCCTTTCGAAGTGTACGAATCTCAGCATTCAAAAGTGTATTTTCATGAGCTAATCTCTCTGTACCCTTAGCTAGAGCTAATACAGTTTCGAATATAGGTGTAGGGGAGCTTGATTGATGACGAGTTATTCGAGATTTAACTAGTGTTGATTGAGAAAGAGCTTCAGTTGGATTGTGAGGGGTTTGAGAGATCCATTGGTTTAGATCGAAAAAGGGGGGAGTAGGTGTACGAATTCGAATATCTAGTTTCGAAAGCACAGCTTCAGGATTAAAGGGTATTAAACCTGCTCCTCGAAACCCTGATTTCACATTCTGAATTGTGATTGATTCTTCGTATGCAGCTTTAAAAGCTATAAAGAATTCAACCTTCGAAATATGATTGATATGTGCCTTGATAAATCCATTAATTTGACCACCATATGAACGTTTCAGATTGCCAAAACAACCCACATCAAGTGGTTGAGTTAAATGACTTGAATGCGGTGGTAATCCTAAACATACAATATCATTCTCTTTACAATATGCCTGAAAAGGATCTGATACGTGGCTTTCATGCCCATCTAGCACCAACATTCGATATTTTGCCCTTTCTTCGATTCTTAGTATGCTTATCGAAGTGTTTCAACCATTCTAAACCTGTCTCATTGTTTGTCCATCCATTAGATGTAGGTTTAATAGCCCAATCCGCAGGAAAACCGGTTTCGGTATACCAATTGGAAAGATGGACCTGTCCCTGAACCACTAGAAATGGGGGTATAGTTTCACCCTCCCCATTACCACATATGATCGCTGTAGCCCATTCTCTATTGCCTGGTTGTATTGCCTTGCTTCTGCCATTTCGTTCAGCACTAGTTACTACCATTCCGGGGCATATTATACCCATCATAAAGCCCGTTTCGTCGAAGTTGTAGAAATCGCAATCGAGAATACCATATTTCGCTCGCATATTCGAAACTAATCGAAACCACTTCTCAACGAGCTCAGGATCTTCGCAGAGAGCCCTTTGAAAGTCATAAACACGACTAAAACGCGTCTTTAATTCGATTCGACGCTTTACGAATCGATGCGCCCAGAGCTTCCCAACACACTTTTCACCCCTCGATTCAAGAATATGATTCGCCATATCTTCCACATTTCTTAATTTAGGTGGAAATCCTCTCTCGTCCATATCAATTATATATTCAGAAATGATATTCTCTTCTAGTTCTGAAAGATTGTAAGATTTATGTCGATATTCAGTACGAGGGGATAAACCGTCAATTCTATGCCGTAGTGTTGTACGCGGGACATTGTACATATTAGCGATCTTTCGAATGCTTAGTTTTTTGTCTTTTTGAATAGCTTCGATGGCAAGGAGTATACAAGCTTCTTGATTCTTCGAATTCATCGTGGATTGTTGATAAAACGCGTGTTGAAAGAGAAAGGTGTGAATTGAGGTGAAAGTGGGCCACATGCTGATATGGGCCACATGCTGATAAAACACGTTAATCCTACAAAAACTTTCATACACATTATGAGCAGGAGCTCGGGGCCAATTAGTGATTGTCGTATTTCAGATTCCGTATTATTCACAATTTGAACACAAAATTAGGCGTCCACTTTTTTGATCGTAAAGTTGCAGCCAATTACAGTTACCATTTGTGGCTCATCATTCTCCCTATTGATAGGCCGCTGCTGATCAGGCCAGTGCTTAAAACTATGACAGGAACCGTGGGTGCGGGGGAGTTCTCAAACATACAGGGGAATATAACCATAAGCACTAGCGAGTTGTCATGGGCTACCTAGTCATCATCGTCTTCCCTGTGTTCTTATTTGTGCCTATAAGCATTTTTCACCCCCTGTGGACATCGCCATAGAACTGTTTATTGGTCACTTTACGTACAGCCTCAATTAATAAGATTAGCACGTTATTTCCCTTGTCTCCCACATTCTTCCTTCAACATCCTTCTGTAACCTCATCTCTAGTTGAGGCTTACGTACTCATATGAAAAGCATCTATTATTGATGATTTTCTACCGGTTTAGGAGAATACCTGATCATCAAGTTGTTCCTTCGAAACCGTTCGAGAATTGAGGTTGATATGCCGTTCAAGCCGATGTGTTTGATCATCCCGAGAAGTTAGCTTCTCACGTGGATAATACTATGTTTTCCTAGGTAATGCTGTTGAAGGAGTACCCGAAATTTCCTCACAGTCAGCATCCTACGTAGAACACACTGCCCTTTTACTGTTCATGATAAAGTTTTGGAGGAAGTCTTCTAAAAATGTATCTTCATGACTCGCTTGGCTGGGTCGAAAACACACACACAAGATTCCAGGCAGTTCTTGGCACTTCTCACCACCAGGTTCATAGAAATCCTTCTATGATCATGTAGATTGCGTGACGGTTGATCTGATTATTCCATCTTGTAAGGCTCGAGGGAGAGAGGATGGTCGGTATATAAGACAGAGGAGTGTTACTGACTCCTACCTTCTTCTCTCCATCTCATTTCACATTCTCTTTACAGCATCTCTCTAGTCATTCCTTTTTCCTTTCCTAGGATTTATTGGTCCGTTTCATTCATTCATTGAGTGCTGTTTTTGATACGGGTAACCGAATTTCACATTTCCTTCATTTTTCTTTGAAATTGCAATCATAATATCTATATCATGCGTCAATCAGTCTTTGCCCTTGCGGCTCTTTCTTTATGGCAGAGCTGCACTGCTCAAGCAATCAAGGAAACTCTAGTCCCATATCATCCGAAAGACCTTGGTCTTCAAAGAAGAGATGCACCACCTAGCGTCACTCTTCAAAGTGAACTCAGTCTTATCTGGGGATCATCAAACGGTATGCTGCCTATCCTATCTCAATTACGAAATAATCGTTTAACGAAGAATAGGTTCAACTTTTGTCAATGTAACCCTCAACACAGGCGAAACAGAACTTGTTATCTCCACCGAGCATTTTTCCGACAGTCTCACAGACGTGCAATGCAACGGTGATCTTGTGCTCACCTTCAAAGACAATGCTACTTTCCAAGATGCCATTTCCGATTGGTCCTGGGTCAACTTTCATGAGAATCGTACATTTTTCATGATCAACAACTGGGGTGCGTGCGCTGCTGCATCGGAATCTGGTAGACAGCCATGGATTGTTCACGGAGTCGATGTCTATGATGAGCAAAATTTCATTGTCAACTTCAATGCTACTCTCTCGGACTGGGATGATGTCATGTCTGGTGCCGTTATCGAGTTTGGTGCCATGTCAACATCCTATTCATCCAAGAGAACCGACACTGTTAGCAAGACTCTATCTCTCAACATGGCCCACAGTCTTCCTCAGACCTTCTTCAGTAAATCTACCAACAATGGACTTGACTTCTCCATTGACTGTCCTGGTTGTGCTACCACCGGTACTATCGATGTTCAAGGAAAGATTGTTATGAACACCGTCATTGGCATTCCAACCAGTGTCAAGTCTATCTCTATCACTGCTACTCCAAAAGGATTAGGTGCTAACTTGGCTCTTGGATTCTCTGTTTCCGGTACGTTGGGTAGTGGGTGGTCCAAAGACTGGAACTTGGTTACTGTCGGTCTTCCAGGGTGGTCTATTCCAAAGATCATCGACCTAGGTCCTCAATTCACTGTCGATGCCGGTTTCGCTCTCAGCGGTATCGAAGGAAGTGCTTCAATCAGCGCTGGTGTCAACGTTGCCATCCCAGACTCTTCTTCCGCTGTTCTTGGTATCAACGGTGTTGATTCTAGCTTCAATGGCTGGGTTCCAACTGCAACTCCTCAAACTCCCAAGGTCAGCGTTGAGGTCGATGGAAGCTTGCAACTGTACACCGAACTTGGTCTTGATGTCGGACTTACCGTTCTCAGCAAGTGGGGCTTCGGAGGTGGACTTTTCCTCAGAATACCAGATGTCAAGATTGATCTTGGCGCTGAATTTAACACTCAAGGTGTATGCCCTGGATCAGCCGATGTTTTCGGTGTCACTTTAGGTGCAACTGTTGGTGTCGATCTCAACCTTGGTGTCTACACTGAATCTGGTGGAGACAAGAGCTGGAAGGCAAAAACCTCCATCTACACCAACAACAACTTGATCACTCCTATTGACAAATGTTTCCCCCTCGGCCCAACTCTTCCAGTTGGTGGTAAGGGAGTCTCGATCAAGACTGTCGGTACCGTTCCAGTTTCTTCTGCTAAGGTAGTTTCCACCACCAAGGCCGCTGCTACCAGTAAAGCTGCTACCACCTCCGCCAAGCCAACCAGCGCTGGTGCTTCATCCAAGCCATCAGCCGTTTCTGCTAGTGCCACTCTTAAGACTTCAGGATCAGCATCAGCTACTAGCATCAAGGTTTCTGGAACCGGTGCATCTTCATCTATCAAGGTCTCTGGAACCACTGTACCTTCTTCTATTAAAGGCTCTGGTACCGGACCCTCCTCAAGCAAGATAACTGGCACTGGTATTTCTGGATATGGCACCAGTAAGATCGCTGGAACTGGCGTCTCTTCCAGCAAGATTGTTGGAACTGCCGTTTCATCATCTGCTCATGGATACGGATCTGCCCCAGCTTCATCATCTGCTCACGGATACGGATCCGCTCCAGCTTCCTCCGCACTTGACTACGGAACTGTCCCAGCTTACCCTACCACTACAAAACTCTCCGGAACTGGAGTATCTTCATCTAGCAAAGTCGCTGGTACTGGTGTCTCCTCGGTTCCCTCTTACGGTACTCACCCGGATACTACCGCTTCATCCATCAAGGGTGCTAGTACTTCAACTGTCAAGACTTCTGATACTGTTGTAATTAGCAGCTCAAGGTACATCTCTGCTTCAGGAGTTAGCTCAGTCAAGACTGCTATCGGTTCATCTGCCTCATCTGCACTCGGTCTTGAGACAAGTAAAGCTTCTTCTTCTTCGGCTAAGGCAACCACAACAGCTGGTGCTCCAGTTTATGGAGGATCTTCTACTTCTTCCGCTCTTGGTCTCGAGACAAGCAAAGTTTCTTCCATTGCTGCCTCTTCCACCAAAGTTTCCAGCACAGTCGTAGCAAGTTCCACCTCAACTAAAGCCACCACAACCGTCATTCCAACCAAGACTGCCACTGGAACCGTTGCCCCAGCTCCAACAGCCACAGGTACAATCTCCACATGTGACAAATGGGTCACAATTGAAGATAACAGCTGCTCTTGCACCAACATTGAGAACTACTACGGTGTCAGCACCACTAACCTTAATCTCTGGAACCCTGCTCTCGGAAGCGAGTGTAAATTGACTGTTGGACAAGCCGTTTGTATCGGAGTCAAGGGCTCCTACAAGCGATCTGTCAATGGTCGTCTTGCTCGATTTGTTGACGCTTAGATGATATGCTCTGTATGGGGGTAATAAAAGGCTTGATTGGATGTGATATGAATGGTATTTGCATTTTCGAAGGATCAATGAACGGATTTTTGGATTTTCTTTATATTTCTTTTTTATTTTCTTAGGGATGGGATTGGATTGGATCGAATCGGATCGGCCGGTTTGCATGGCTGGATTTAGTGGGGACTTATTTACCTATTGCATTGTTTCTTTTTTGTATGAATAGAATTAAGAGATTGAGGATGAAAGGAAAGGAAATTAAAGTTGATGATTTTAAGATAGGGCTTTAATTTTGATGATTGTGATGTGTGAAGTGTAATGCGAGATGCGATGAGGTGAGAGCCTTTGAGTAATATCAACTTGCAGGAAGTCAAATGATGTTTATTTAAAGCATTTATCTAAGTCAATTCGGTGTCTGGGCAGTGAATATCACGTAGCTCCAACGCGTCGCTAGTTCATTTTATCACAACCATTTTTGACCCCGCTTCACAAATCAAAAGTAATCAAGGGTTTCCAGTCTCGGCATCAATCCGCACAATCAGTAATCCAGCTTCTCAAGGCTGGCTATCTCATGGCATTTTTGAGTGTCTCAAGACTAGACTGAAATTTAAACAATCCTTTAATACATATCTTTCCATCACCAGTCAACAATGTATGAATAGCCAAGTCGAGAGTGACTGATTTCCATCCAACTAAAGAGATTACGCTGTCAGTTTGCCAATCTATTGTGAAGATCCAAGCGGTACATACAGTCATGTCTTTGAAACGTAGCGGATTGCCCCTCGCCGACGAGGAACACGATGATGAACCTTTCAAGGAGCCTTGGACGCCATTTACAGAGTAAGTATTGTTTCATCTTTGATTTGTAAACCTAGACTAATACTTTGATCAGCGAGCTAGGAACAGAGATGGTCCGGATTCTTATAGGCAAGAATAGTTACAAGAAGGTCTTTCATGTGCACAAAAACATACTTTTCGACAAAATACCATGTTTCAAGGAGCTTTCCATTGACAACCGCAAAATCGTCGAATTTCCAAATCATGTACCAAGTGCCTTCGACGTGCTTGTTGAATGGGTCTACACAGATTGCTTGCGAGGTATCGAGATCATTGGTGGCGATGATCAAGATTTTCTTCGATACAGATCTTGGTATCCCGCATGTCTCTATCAACTTGCAGAAGAACTACTTCTTCCAGAGCTTATGGATCGAGTCATGGAAGTTGAGAGAAGGTTCGATGACCAACACTGTCCTAATTACGATCCTGATAGTCTCAAGGAACTTTACGAAAAGACTTCTAAAACCTCAAAATTCAGACAGTATTGTGCAGAAACGATTGCATATGTAGTCCGCAATAAGGCAGAGAAGGATATTCCAACGCCTGAATTGTTGTCTGCCATGGATAACAAAGATCTTGCCGGTGATTATCTAAGTATAAGTCGGAGGGTGACCATCGAAGATCCAAGCAAAGGCTCGGGCTGTCGGTTCCATATGCATGATAAAAGTGAGAAGTGCTTGGCAAAAGATCATCCCTGGGAAGGAAAGGGCACTATTTCGTCGCATGAACAGATAAAAAACAAAAGAATACCACCAGCAAAGAAACCGAGGCTCTCCAAAAGCCCTCAAGAGTCTTGAATATAGTCTGAAAACAAGATAGTTGAGGTTTTTAGGTTGGTATCATACTTCGAGGTCATTGAGAATGTTGAATCGATTTGAGGTATTGACGTCTCTTAACCCTGCGATATGTATCTGGGTATGCATGAAGTTCGGGCATGGTCGCTTTCCAGTGCTAAGCTGTACTCTGGACTTTAGGCAGCTCAGAGATTCTTCAATTCTTCTCCCCCCGATACTTCGAGACTTCAAAGGAAAGATCAACTATATCTAATTGCAGATGCTGGGAGGACTTAGTTTTCAGGTTTCAGACACGGATATAACTTTTCTCTGAGTATGGAACGCATTGCAGTAATCTCAAAGTTTATGAATGTAGGGAAACAAAAATAGGAACAATGCAGCTACTTTAGCTTCAAATTCTAGAGTAATCAATGCATTTTAAACGTCTCTCGGTCATCTCTAATCAACAAGATCCAGTGACTGATTCGCAAATGGTGTTACTTAGTTGCATGCTCCCTCTCTATTTGCAATTCTGACATGCTTCTATGAGACCTTTTCTTTGGCCATAATGAGGCTTCTTGGAACTCGATCCATGATTGTTAGAGCTTTAAGTCCCGTATGACGGTGTTACATGGAGCTCCCACATCTCTAGCCTCGAGAGAACATTAGGACCTATGTTTTGCCAGAGTTTAGGGGAAGCTATGACTTGGCTTACAGCTGCAGTATCCATGGTGTAAACAGGTACTCGTGAAAGAATGAACCAGTATTACAGCATTTCAAGAGAGAAACTTAAGCATCGATGTGGGTGAGCTTGTAACCATCAACTTGAGCGCCAGTCTGAAAGAAATGTTGAAAACTCATCTTTCACTCAAGTTTTTAGTCAAAACAACATATTGGAAAATAAATAATAGTCTGATATTCGTCACATGATAGCCGGCCAAGATTGCGGACTCTGGGTAAACTGAAATTTAGTATTCACTATTCTTTGGATAATTTCGCAATCTTCAGAGTCCCCAAGCTTACGAATTAAAAGGAAACCCTTCTGGATTAATTCCTCGAGAAATATATTCTCTATTGACTGACAACTGGCACGTCACTTTCAGGACTTGATTAGGCCACCGCTATCACCCACAAGTAAGTAAAACCAATCACTTCATAAATAAAAAGCTTTATTCTTAGATTTAAAAGCCTATTTCAGAAGTTTTTGAATCAAATTAAGCTGTAGGACATCATTCAAAAGCTTCACCATGGCCCGAAAGCGCAGTCACTCTGAAATCTCGTCGGGCTCTTCTACAACTTCAGAAGATAAAGATTCGACCACCAGCGAAAATCCTACTGCTGCTTTCTTCGTAGAGTAAGTTAATCACACTCATATAAAGGATTCCAAGCTGATCATGACATATAGTTCAGTTGGAACAGATATGGTCGATATCCACGTCGGGCGAGGTGACGACAAGAAACTATTTCGTGTTTACAAAAAAAGAATCTGCACACAATCTTCATACTTCAAAGAATGTTTTAAAGACGGAAAGAAGGTCTCGAAACTCCCATTTAGATCTCCCAAGCTCTTCGATATGATAATTGAGTGGGTTTACACTGGAAACCTGGATTCTATCGAAGATACAACCCCGCATAGCACAATGTATTCGTTGTATCAACTTGCAGAGTTTATAGAAATGCCGACCGCCATGGATAGTATTATGGACTTAATTCGCAGCAGACATTATGAGAAGGACTTCTATATCGGAGCACGCAGCGTCGAGGATATTTACAACAACACCTGCTTGAATTCACAACTCCGAGCTTATGCTATCGAATTGTTTATGTGCAATCTCCGAGGGGATACTGATGAAAAAGAAGAGGTGATTTCGAACCATGCTGTATCATTACTTTTGGGAGTAGCGGGTTTCACTGATGATTTCATAAGCTTGAGTAGGGAGATCACTATTGAGGATCCTCGTAAGAGCGGATGTCGTTTCCATGTGCATGGAGAGGATGATTTCTGCGGAGAAACAGAGGATACTGATGAGTTTGGCGATGAGGAATACGTCTGGAAAGCTGCTAGTGATGATGATTTTGAAGAAGATGAAGATGCCATTGGCAGCAATGAAGGCGGAGATGGTGCTGAGATCAGGGATGTAAAGATCGAAGTAGACCTTGAAGCTTAGATTATTGAAAAGTACCGGATTGAGTCTCTAGTCCAAAGAGACTTGTATGAAAGTATGATAGAATAATGGTTGTATCTTTACAATATCTAAGACCATTTGTTTTCCCCTTGAGGAAGCCATCAACTCACTCTTGTTGTTTGTATTTGAGCCCCTTGATTCTCGCTGCTTGGTGAATATGGATACCGAACTTGGAATCGAGGTTTAACCTAGTTCACTAGTTGATCATAAACAAATGTAAGCTATTTCCGGTCTTATTGTTGGATAAAGAAGGATTTGACTACACACGAATAATGGATGTGTTGGGTCAATAATAAAAGATGATGGTGTCTATCCAGGAGCCGACGCGATACAGATATTGGGTGGTATAAGAACATGCTACCACCAATAATTACAATCAGATCTCGCTATTTATAGACAATGTACTAACGCTGACAAATAAATAACATGGACTCTGCCCGGGTGTATGCCACACAATACCATGTGTTTTGGTGTCGATCAGATAAGAAGAACCGATCTTCGAAGTGGCCTAAAATCTTAATGGCAAGGACTACGCTAAGGGATCTGAATACACTCGCAGGAACGAAGTCACATTTCCCTCTCCTCTCCACGTGACTTATTGACGTAGGGCAGGATAAAATCTAATTTGAGTTTCAATCTAGAGGATTAGAGTTCAGCCGCTAGTAGTTCAAACCTAAACCTATAGACCACTACTTTTAAACCCTTCACGCAGCAATTGAACTCAGTTTTTTGCGCCAAGTCAAGTATCAATTCTACGTCATGCCTGTTGGCTTCTGGGCACGAAATACGCTAGTCACTCGCTAGGAAAAGAAAATGTGGGGGAGCTTAACTTTTTTCTCGCAAGCGTAGAGATCTTGTCTACATACAAACCTTCATTGTAGCTGTCATCATTGTCCTTAAAATTGCCAAGTTACGACCGTGGTCTGAAGATTCTAGTTTCATTCAATGGCGTTCAGATTTACACTGAACCATTGGGTAAACCGTGCTCTTCATTCCTTCCTGAAACTTGAGATATCGGAAGTATATAGCCGACCCTTTGAGGAATATGAGCCAGTCAAGACTGCTTTTCACACATGGGTATCAAGCCAACACCGGTGATCATCCCAACGCTGAATCTTAGCTGAAAATACACTAACCTGTGAGCCCAGTAATTACTCAGGATGTTGCATCAAATTTCCCAGTTTAAAAAGTTGAGGAAAGTGTACATATTCTCAACCTTCAACACCCGGATGGTAATTCCAAAACTGATTTCCTTCTTCAACTTCAACAAACCTTAAGATTACTACTGTTTAATGCAGCACAGTCTATTGCACGCAATAGCAGGAGGCATGAGTGAGTCTTTGCATTTTAGGCAGATATATATCTCGTATCTGGGGAATATTCTTCGTCAAGACTACATAGTGCATAGAGATAGATAAAGTTTGTTATAATGAACACCAGATCTACAACCATTTCAAACAGAACCTTCCTATGACGAGTGATGATAAGTAAACTACCTAAATAGAAAGTAGTGTGTAATGACAAGACATGCCCATTTGAACTAGGTGTGAGATCGGAGAGGACTCGAAAGCTTCTGGGCCGATCGAAATCTTGAATTTGATTGTAGGAGCTATCATATCAGTCTTGGTATGAATAATTCGAATGCTGAAACTATATAAGCTTTCTATAGATCATCGCTAGTAAGTCTAGCTCATTGCTATTTCATGGGGTAGAAAAAAACTAACAAATACGACGTTCCCCGCACAAATTATTCGAACCTATAAATAGGTGACAGACGCCCCCTTTCTTCTGAACTCTTACACGATCTGTTTCTTCATTACATCTTTCATAATACAATTACATTTACTCGCTTTCGACCATTTAATCTCTAATAACTAATTCAATCCATTCACTTTGATAAAACTTACCGGTTTACCCATAATTTATCTTCGATATTACAATCTACCTGCTACTGAATACTCGAACTGGTACCATCACATATAAGATCTCTCGACTCCATCTTATCACTATCTCACTGTCTTGAACAGCATTGGATACCTATCATTCAATATCTCTCATATTCGCTTCATTTACAAGCATTTAAGCGAGAAAGCTCCACACCACGCAACAATGTCGGATGAAATGCAAGGGGTACAGATGGAAGGCTTGAGTCGACAAGAGTATGTCATGATTTCTTTCTGCACACTTGATATATTTTGCATGCTTGGGTACATACAATTGTATCGCTCTTCGTTAGAAAATCACACCTCACTTTAGCAATTGAAGGCTTTACAGATTATGTAATCATGAGCATCGATTGATGTGTACTGAAATTATTACTAACAAGATTTTATTGAGTACAGGTCCGAACAAACTGTCTCTATTTTAGTAGAAGGTCAAGCGTTCAAGATTAATAAAAGGCTTCTCTTTCGTAGAGTTCCTGTCTTAAGCCATCACAGATTTCCGCTCCCCTTTGACGTAGATCTCCAATCATTCGATGCGTTTTTAGATTGGCTACACGAGGATAAGCTGCCAGCGTTGCACGGAATTTACCACGAGAACTCGGGCAAATTCACATACGCAGGTTACAACCCCGACGCACTATACAGACTAGTCACACACTTGGAACTGGGCGCTCTCGCCGACAACATCATGGATTGCATCGGAAAAGCTCACGTTTCTGTGGGTGTTGGTTTCAGCAAAGATGAAATCACGAAAATATATATCGAACAAGATCCACACTGGGGTCTAGCTCTTTTTGCCGCTTATTGGATCCATCTCGAAGATACACGTCCAAACGACTACATGAAAGTTACGACAAAGGCGGAGCGCGAAGATCTTTTGAATAACGGAACTATCGCTATTGATGTGGGGCTCCTTCGCGGACCATTGTTTCTGGGAAGTCATACAAAATGCAGATATCATCTTCATCATTTTAACGCAAATGGGACGTGTCCACGAACCCACAGTACCGATATCTGCTTGTGGGTTATGAATAAAGATGGTGACATGGAGGACATGCAAAGTTGGAGAGCCAAGAAGTTTTTGGATCCAGTACAGGATCAAAGCGGTTAAGCCCGCAACTTTCAGATGTTTTACTTGATACTAGCTCTGATTAAGTAATTCTAGGAAATCAAGGGCCTCAGAGGGGATTGTAGAGTCTTTAATTTCTTGAGCATGCATGGAATTACATGTTCGGAACAGCGTAGTGGTGGCATAGCTAGGTTTTGGCCACCCTTAAAAAATTGATTTTTAACATATTAGGGGATCATGGGCGTATTCGGTTGTTTAGACGGGAGTTCAGGGACAGCATCGTCCATGAATTTGAGGAGTATTCATATCAGGGTCAAACCCCCCAGCGATCAGAAATTACTGATGTAAAATGCGATTTGTTAGACTAGAATGTATAAAGATGTTTAATTTGGAGTTTTTGGAAAATGTGTTTCTTAGATTGATAATAAAAATTTGGTTCTTCGGATATGCTTTTCGTTGTATTCATTCTCTGTGATGCTTCAAGCTTCGATAAATGTGATCAAGTAGATTTTAACGTAGCAAAATGGCGTAACAAAACAGATGGAGAGGAAAGTAATGATTATGATCCACAATAATCAAATATTCTATACATAGAAGAAGTACTAGAAAGAAACACACCCTCTTGGGAGCTAATCATCAAGACGGTCGTGTAATCTGCCTATAAATGTACGGTCAGTGAAGCCAAAATTCATACCGTCGCGAAGATCGAGATGGAAGTAGATGAAGGAAATTGCGAGGCGGTAATATACCAATCTTGAAGTCGAGTGACTTCCTAATCTGTCGGATCCTCGACATCTGAATTGGACGATGTGCACTGAACTGAGCGACCGCAAGACTAAAAATCCCTTATAAGTTCATTATGGGTATAACTTCTAGAAGTTATCTGTGTGTGATAAACATGACAGAAATGAGAAAATGGTAGAAAACGTTGTATTCAATTCATTTACCAACCGTTGTGGTGCGAATTTGAAGCTTCGCCAAGTCATGATGTTATTTCGGAGACGAATAATTGCTAGGTATGAATTCAATTCTATGGAGTGCAAGATACCTGCCTTTATGTAAGTGGTCATTTCAAACATGTCGTTTTGAAAAATATATCATTAGCTTATAATTCATAATTTTCATTTCACAATGTCAAGTCTTTACTTTGGTTCTTGCTCTGTATTTCTTCATGCTCATGTGTATCAATGTGCTGGAAGCTGGATATTGCTTTCATGAGGCTCTGTAATATGAAAATTACATTTTAAATTCCTGGCTTGTGTATGTGAATGTGAAGTGACAGGCATGAAATTCAAGATTTTATGCCTTCCTCATAGCCAGTCTTCCCGACAATGAACCTTTTCAAATACGACATGCCATATGTCAATCCCAAACGAAACCAGTCTGCAGACCTCAATCGAGAAAGTGCAGCCAACATCCCAACCATGCAATTTGTTTTCTGCACAACAAGAGTATCAGGACGCCATTGAAAAACACACGTAAACCTAAGACAAACACCCCCCACCAACTCCTCTCCCAAAATCCATTCTTCACATAGCACAACAACAATCTAAGACCTCTTCCTCGACTCCGCAACCACATCAACATTATTAGAACCCACATTCATATTCGCCCTCTTCTCCAAAACCCCATAAACTTTCCCCAACACCTCAAACATCTCCTCCGTATTCCTAAACTCAAACTTCTCATGAACCCTCATCCTCACCTCCAAATACGCTCTCGGTTTTTCCCCCAACCGCGACAAAACATACGCCATGCGAATCGAAAAACGCGCATCGCTATACGCTTTCAATTTTTCCTTCATCTCCTTCTCCCATTCCACATAGAAAATTCCGACATGGGGGCTGGGATATTTGGAGTAGGGAATGAGGTTGAAAATGGGTGGGTCGGGGACTTGGATGATGTTCGCATCGTAGCATCGAGGATCTTCGGGATGGGATGGGCTGCGTCTGAGTGGATTTGCTTCTGCGGACCAGGCGTCGATGGCGTCGGTTCTGGGATCGTAGGATGGGGTTCTGTGGGGTGAGAGATGTTAGTAATGGATTGGGATTGTGTTCTTGGTGGGTGTACGAACGCCATTGTGAGATTTTCTTGGTGTGAAGTTTAGTGCTGTGCGAGAAGTTTCGTTGTTCACATTTATTCTTGAAAGGTCGTTGATAGATTTCAAGTTTCTCACAGCAGACTTTGTAATTGTGAATTACAAACGATAGATACACTTGAAGCCAGAGTTTCTTGTGTTTCCAGAGCGGACGTCTGCTTTATTTCTAGGTGATCTTCATACCATAGATACAAGACCTCTTATTGAAAGTGAATTCAAGTCATTAATTAGCTGTACTCGGGTGAATTCGGGTTCTTTCATCATACGTTTGACAAAAGTTCAAAACCCTGGAACTATTGAGAGTATCTAGATTCAAGGGAGTATCTTTGGCTGAGACTAGTATATGAAAGGTTTCATTGCCAGCATTCAGGTATAAATTCAAATCAGAGAATGTATCGATCCTCTTCAAACAAATTATCAACATCACCAAGAAGCTGTTATTTACTAGGTAGTAATCACACGAGAGAAGTTCAAACCTCTGTTTATGCTTAAAATGTTATTAAACTTATTAATATCTCATTTATTAACGCAATTCCAGCCCCAATCTACCTGATACATAGAGTATCAAATAAAAGAAAAGAAAAACACCATACTAACAAAATCCTATTTAATCATCGCATCTACAATATATCAACGCAAGTTCTACAGCAAACTATCATTTCAGATACATATATAAAGACTGATTCAAAGACAATGAGATTTTCATCTCAGAGAGCCATGGGAGGAGAGCAGTAACAATATCATTTGAGCTACAGGCCTAACACTTGACTTATAAATGCATAAATGAGCCTTTATTCATAAATCGCAAACAATCTCTCAAAAACTAATAAAAGAAATTTCCAAAACTAGGAACATAAACTCGCAGCAGGACCCCATTCCTCCAAGAAGCTGAATATCTTTCCATCTCAAACCCATCTATTCCTCTCCCGTCCATGACCATTCAGTAACCCCCCACCCCCGCAGCATCCTTACGACCTAAGAAAATCAAAGCTCGCGAGAAGTAGGAATGACTCGACTAAATAAACACAAACTAGCATCACATGGTTCTGCAGGGCTTTCCGCCGGTGCAGATGTCGATTCCGCTTCATTCAATATGGAGGATTGAATTGTAACTGGTCCGATGAAGGTTGAAGGTATAAGGCTGTTTACACTAGAGGAATATTGTGAAGAGGAGGTGGTGGAATCAATGTATGAAGATTGGGATTGGGATTGGGATTGCGGTTGAGATTGTGAGATTTCTAGTAAGGATTTGGAGGAGGTAGATGATGTCGAAGTATCAGATTTTGAAACTGTAGGTGGACTTTGATTGGCGACGGATGAGGAAGTTGAAGTTGCAGGGGAAGTGAATGAGCTGGAAAGCGGGCCGACAGAGACAAAAGTCGAAGTCGAAATCACACTCGAAGAAGTACTGGATGTGACCATTGGCAAAGAAGAGGTCGGCGATTGAATAATTTGCGTCGTCGAAGTCGGATTCGATATCGAAGTACTAGACGACACCGATGATATTGACGAGGTAAGCGATTGAAATGTCGAACTGGAGCTAGGAGATACGAGTACTGAGACTGAGGTAGAAGTAGATCTGGATCTGGTAAAAGTTATCGGAGGGTCTGGTATCAGAGTTGAACTAGACCTAGGAGATGTCGATATTGCGGTTGAGGTAGAAGTTGATCTGGTCGTAGTTATTGGTGTATCTCTTGCAAGACTGGATGTTTGCGAACTCGAGGAACTTAATTTTGTACTTGTACTTGAAGACAGAGTAATCGAAAGGACAGTGCTGGAGGTGCTATAAGAACAACTTCCCGATGAGATGGCACTGACAGCGGTATAAAATGCAGGACGATCAGTTGCACAAATACCAACACTATTTTGACCTGTGCTTTGGTATACGCTGATTGTTCCATTTCCGCAGCAAAAATTGCTAGTACTAGCACCGATTGTGACCCTGTATTGTTGCCATGAAGTATCTGCACATTGTCCAAGTGAATTGTAGCAATCCGTACCTTTGGAAAGTTAGCTTAAATTGGTGAGTAGTGATGATAAATAACATACTATCATTGCAACAATAAGGTGCAGATCCGGTTCTTGTCTTACAAGTTTGACCCGTGGGACAATAATATCCAGTAGTTCCTGGACATACTGATTCCCCTGCAAGCTTTGCTACGCTTCAGAGAACACTGGATAGTGGTGTGTAGAGTGCATATCCTGGACCAATTCCGCGTGAATCTGTACATCCAGAGCCGCAAGCACCTGGAGCATTGGCAGTAGTAAGACAGTTGCAAGCATTTGCCACAGCAACAGAACCTCCAAGTAGGGCGCAAACACCGCTGGCAAGTTCATCAAGTGAAGGGGAACCGACGGTCTTGAGTAATGGGCACTGCGCAGCTGACAAGACTGCTACAGCAAGATAACAAGCGTTTAAAGAACAGCACGACATTGTGAATTGCTTGGTATTCGTCAATGATGGTCTATTGAGAATTTCTCAAAAAGAAATAGCAGATGTCAAACTATTACACAAGATTCCATAGCTGTGGAATGTTACCTCGATAGCATCCATGGAATTTGTGCTGATCAACCATTACTGAGGAAATGACTATCTTGGAGTATATATAGCTTGGCAACATATTTGTCCAGCGTGCTGGTAAACTCAGATAGGGAGGCTATTCGGTGGAGAAAAAACAATCCTCAATTGACCATTGGTAAAACCTGCCAACAATTTGGTTACGCTCTTCAGTATATACGAGATTTTGTCTGGAATATGTTCACAAGCGAGAACAAGTCAATGTCTCGTTTGATTTTGTTAAATCGGGCCTCGATTGTTGCTCGATTTTTTTGTAGTGTAAAACAGTGTTTGAGATTGAGATGGTCAAATCTGGCCGAAATCTGGCCGAAATCTGACCGTTTTTTTCTCCGAATAAGTAAGGATGAAATTCATGGTAAGCACCAAGAATGGTTGATATGAGTGGCCGCAGGTGGGTTGTATTGTTCTTACTGAAAGGATGTGGAAGAATGCTTCAATGTTGGAGATATTAGAGGTTAAGGCAGAGCCGTGTTGGCTCAAGATGAGAAAGATAGAAACCTCGTTCATGTTATTTAATGTACGAAGCCCTCTAGTTAATCCGTGTGATCAGCAGGATATTAGTCCAACTGCTTCGCTTGTGTGGTGATGATGGAGATTCTACAATCAATCAAGAGTTGAGAATACCACTCTTACCATACACAATCAAAGGCTTCCGTCTATAAGAAGAGGGAGGAGAGGGGATGGCAGCTACTAGTATGAAAGGGGGAACCATTAATTGAAGTTTGTGATTTTTCAAATGCTTGTATGATCGATTCGTTATCTTACGAGCTACTAAGCCTATAAACCACAATTAAGCCCGCATTATCATCGTAACTTGTTATCCAATGTAATTATACACTTGTATCATTTGCATCGCAGGGCCGCTAACAAGGGGGCTGCCAATTTTTGTATACAGCTATGTATCCGTCTGACTGGTACTCCCGAGTCCACAATGTGAATGTTTTCCACCTAATGGGTTACGATAGACGAGCCTCCCGAGCCTCCATGAATATAAACGCCTGAGGATAACGTGCATAAGGGATGAGACATCTGCCACAAATTCTTTACGCGTGTAGACTTCGACATGAAGAATTCAAGAGCACTCCAGAGCACTCGAGATAAATAGTAGAACTATCTACTATCTATCTTCCAAAAATGTTAGTTTGTAATGCAAATCGAGGTGGTTTACACATTTCCGGATATCCGCGGGGTAGTAAGGTATGTTTAATTGAAGGGCAATGATTGGATTTAATGATGGTGGAATGGGAGAATGGCTTACTAATCCATAGGAAGGGGGTGCGAGGCTGGAGGCTGCTGCTTTAAACATATTTGACTGATATCCATTTTTGTGAGCGATGTTATGTTTCAATTTGGTGATTGCATGAATAAAAGTAGAGATGATCTCTTTGCCTTGATCTGTCTTCCACTCTTCCACCCGTTTCAAAATTACAAAAGACCAACTTACGAGCTCATAATGTCCTCAAACATTATACTCATCTAGGTACCTATATAAATTCTATGATCCCCATTATGATTATCAAAGCGGCACCAGTAACATCCATTTCCAGAATAGCCTCCCCCATCATCCCGCATGGAGGGGCAATATGAAATTTCTTATCGATGGCGTTATTTCACGATAACAGCTACTGAGCAAAAAATCCCCAAGATACAATCAAACACCCAGAAGACGACGGAATTGGTAAGGAGATAGTTCGTTCTTTGCTTCTAGTCCTCTCTCTCTCTCTCTCTCTCTCTCTCTCTCTCTCTCTCTATGACAATTGAATGCTAGTTATATTTAACATCTACTTCACACATCTATGTATTCATCTTTTTTTCCATATCTCTCCTACATCTTCATTCCTTTGATCATATCTATCTGATAAGATTATTCCCTTTAATCTCTTGTCACAATCATCATATTCCACACAGTAACATCAGATAGGAGTTCACGGGATTCATCATGACTCCAATATCTCTTCTTACAGGTATTGATGCAACATCTCATATTCATCTTATAATTGGATGCAATCCATTAGCAGGTGCCAGATGTACGAAATCCGTGGAAGTAGGAGCAAAACCAATTCTCATTGCGCCTGAATCCTCCGAGTTGCATTACACGTTACAAAAACGAATTGACACTGGGGAAGTACAATGGCTGAAGAAGTCATTTGAAGATAATGATCTTATGACTCTAGGTAGAGAAGAAATTGGAAGAGTAGTCGATGCAGTCTTTGTTACCTCTGGACCTCGAGATCCATTAAGTAAGTATAGTTATTTATTTGGTGTGAGACCATTCAGCTAATTCGTCTAGGTGCATATATCTCACAACTCTGCAAACGTAACCGCATACCAGTAAATGTAGCCGATGCATCAAATCTCTGCACATTCTCCCTCCTTTCCACATACACCGATGGGCCACTTCAAATCGGTGTAACAACCAATGGTAGAGGTTGCAAACTCTCCTCTCGAATTCGTCGCGAAATAGCCTCCTCGCTTCCTAAAAATTTAGGAGAATCATGTTTACGACTCGGTACAATTCGCAGACGTATACAAGAAGAAGATCATTTAGCACATCTCACTGCAGCCGGAGACTTGGATAATGAAGAAGAAACAGATCAAAGTTCTACTTTCAACAAACTTATTACCGAAGCAGATCTCGATGCTGCAAAAAATAGACGTATGAGATGGCTTTCTCAAATATGTGAATATTGGCCCCTTCGTCGGCTTGCGTCGATAACAGATTCGGACGTCGACAGTGTCTTGAAATCTTACGCCACCAACCCATCAACTTCGGCTCCTCTTGACACATCAAACCTCGATTCCCGCGTCTCAAAACTCCCACAAATAATCTTAGCTGGTTCTGGACCCGGGCATCCTGATCTTCTCACTCGCGCAACCCACAAAGCCATTCTTTCTGCCGATATAATCCTCGCCGATAAACTTGTTCCGTCGGGAGTTCTCGACCTAATACCCCGTCGAACACCTATCCACATTGCGCGCAAATTTCCAGGCAACGCCGAACTAGCACAACAGGAATTGTTGTCTCTCGGATTAGCTGGTCTTCAAGCGGGTAAAACTGTTTTACGATTGAAACAAGGTGACCCTTATATATATGGAAGAGGAGGAGAAGAGTTTGAATTTTTCCGAGAGCAGGGATATGGAGATCGAGTTGTTGTTTTGCCTGGAATCACCAGCGCACTGAGTGCGCCACTATTTGCTGGAATACCGGCGACACAAAGAAGCGTTAGTGATCAGGTACTTATATGTACTGGGACCGGCAGGAAGGGAAAACCTACCGTGCCGCCGCAATATGTTCCTACTCAAACTGTGGTCTTCTTGATGGCTCTTCATAGAATCAAGGGATTAGTGGCCGATCTCACCACCCACGATTCCGAAGACGCAAAAGTGGTTGATGAGAATGGGAATGTTGATCAAAGTAGGAAGTTATGGCCACTGAGCACACCATGTGCAGTAATTGAAAGAGCATCGTGTCCGGATCAAAGGGTCGTAAGAACTTCTTTGGAATCTGTCGTAGATGCTATTGAAGAAGTGGGCAGTAGACCACCTGGGTTATTGGTACTTGGAGCTGCATGCGAGGTCTTGTTTAATCAAAATTCTAGTAAGGAGGGGAGAAAGTGGGTTGTTGAGGAGGGATTTAAGGGGTTAGATGATTTAGGCTTAGGAGAAGTAGGGCTTGTGAGTTGCAGTGTTGAGGGCGAGAGGCCGGATGTAGTAAGGGGGGATAGTTTTGGGAGGGAATTGAAAGTTTAGAGGGAAGAAATATGATACCATAGATTTTGTGATAAACATTCATTCATACATTCAAAAACGTCTTCAGTGAAGCTAGACTTGGGAAGTTGATTTTGCTACCTAAATATATGTACCCCAACCAATTTCCAATAGAAGAATTTATACAGGAAGCAAGCACCGTCGAAGAGTGACATAATGACTTCTCGCTGAAAATCTGTATCTCCATTGCTATTCACATCATTCTGGGTATATCCGCATTCCATCATCATCATCATCATCATCATCATCAAACATCATGTACAAAACGCCGGGTTGGACATCTCCCTTTGGCGCTTGGAACCATTCTTGTGAAAAGTACCGGACCCCTTCATAGCCTGCACTCTCGTATCTGGTCCCTATGATGGCTCGAATTGAATCGCCATGAAGTCCTTTGCTTAGATCTGATTATGGTAATTCCACTCAAGTTATGGCATTGGACAGCGATCTGGCATATCGACAGGATCCGGACCAGCTCTCCAAACCCAATTCATATCCAATTTTTGATCTGTGTCATCGTAGCGCAGGAGAAAGCTTGCAATCAACGGTATGTTCTTCCAACCCTTTTCTGCATCTACCCATCCATAACACCTGTAGATCACTCACCATCAAAAGACGGCGGCGCAACACTCATCCTCAACTGTCTCTGTCTCTGCTGACTCTGTAATCCCAATCTCTCCACCGCATACCCCAATCTCTCTTTCTTCTGCCTCAAAACCTTTAACCTCATTGCTTTCTCTTCATTACCCCCTCCATTTCCAAAGGGACTTTTGTTCCCTTTGTTCAACCCTATTTCCCAGCTCTTCTTGCGACTTAGTTTGCTGGCTTTGGAGGTGGGATTGGACATGGAATCGGAAGATTCGAGACGTCCCGAGAGAAGCTGGGAGCGCGCGATGAGTTGTTCTTCTTTGCGCTGGAGACGGGAAATGAGGGATTCGGAGCGGGAGAGGAGCGTTTCGATGGCGGGCTCGAGTTCTTCGGCGAGGGAACGTTGGGCTGCGTGGAGGGTGGTGGAGGGGGTGAGTTCGAAGTGCTGGGTGGAGGTGTTAGTTGGGGTTTGTTTCTATAATTGGGGGAGTTTGAGAGTCGGA